ATATTAAAAAAGAAATTCTGTGCAACTTGAATTTTCATTTTCTTTAAAAATCGTGCGCCTTAAGAAGTTAAAAGAAATATACGACATAGATGTCGAAGAAAATTCAAGATAAAATTAAAAAAAAAAAAAATTCAAGATAAAATTCAAAAAGAAAATTCAAAATAAAATTCAAGAATTATTATCCCTTGTAACATATTTATTATATAATTGTATGGATTATCTAACGATATCAATTTCTTCAAATATACCTATATATATAGATACACGGAACATGATGATGCGTGTGTGTATACAAATATATCTGTAATGTGTACCTCTACGTAAATATGCATATATACATACGTACATACATACGTACGTCTCTCTATGTACAAAAGAAGTACGATGAGGATCTTGAAATATTTCAATTTTTATTATCGATATGGAGAGATCGAAGATTTATATAGTCGAAGTTTACCATAAAGGGAAGACAAAAGTCAGACTAACATTCGCTATGGAATCTATGAAATTTTGCCGCAAAAGCTTTTGGTATATATTCTTACGGCATAGTGTCAAGAAAGATAGTAAGTCTTCGACTACTACAACGGCGACATCGACTTCCGGAAAAGAAGATATTGAATTCGAGAAGCGCGTGAATCATTTTTATCATGGGATTCTTTCTTTCTCTCTCTCTCTCTCTCTCTCTCTTTCTTTTTTTCTTTCTTTTTCACAGAGAATCCGCCACGAGTAAAGAAGAAGATCGTTCTCTCTCATCAAATATTCAATCGAAGTTTACAAAGCGTACGTTCGACGTGCATGAATCTCATTGCGTTTGTCTACCTTTTCTACTTTTCCATCCTTATCCCTCTTCTACCCCTTCCTCGTACCACTTTCGGTTATAAAACTCCAATTTTTACAAGTCGTTCGTTTCGCGCTTTCTTTTCTTTCTTTTCTTTTTTTTTTTGTGTTTTCGAATGACGATGTACGACGATTCGATCAATATTATTATTATTATTAATTTATGATAAGTATTTTGTAAAATAAATATTTTGCAAATGAATGAACGTATCTATATGAATGTTATTTTGATCGATATATAATAATTAAGCGTATTAAGTATTTCGATCTTGGTTGAGTCATTTATATTACATAATAATATTTTATTATAAATATTTAACATATCTGTTTAAGATACTGAAGAAATGTTTAAATATATGTAAGCTTAAATAAATAATAGCCTATTTTTTTTTTGCTTTTTTCTCCCTTTTTTTTTTTTATCGAGTAGAAAAATCATTTCTTATAGATTGTTTTTGAACAATGACGAATGGAGAAACAATGAAACGAATTAATAAGGGAAAAGAGAAAATGGAGAGTTGGGAGGGAGGGGGAATAAAAGAAAAAAAAAATTGATCGGACATTTTTTTCATTATCGTGGAATCTTCTTTTTTTTTCTCTTTCTGTTCCTGTCCTTGCGCGCTTTTTTTTTTTTTTTAATTTCATATTCTTTATCGACGACGATGAACGAGATTAAAATTAGAAGATGAATGAAAAAAAAAGGGTCGATGAAATTGTAGCCTTTTGTCGTTGTTCAGTCACGTCGAGAAAATTTAAATAAATAACTTGAGGCTTCGCGGACGATTTTTCATCGATGCAACGAGACGTACAACATGCACACGTTGCATGTTATGTTTTTATACGAACGAATAGTCTCACACAATATTTTAATAGAAAAAGTATTAAAAAACATATATATATATATAATAAAGATAAAAATAATAAGAAGATTATTATGTCTAACATTTCTTCCTTGGCAATCTCATATTTCAATCATTTCCAAGTTTCAAATTATTATTAGACTAGCAATGTAAGTATACGGTATAAAATGATTGGAATATGACGAAGGGATATGAAAAATAATCAGTCGTTAAGTTAATTTAATTTTTCACATAATTATGTCAATAGTATTTTAGAGAGAATTTTTTTTATAAATCATATATATACATATATATATATATATATTTATTTATTTTGTAGAAGGTGAAAAATTGCATCGATTATTTTATTCAAAATTAGAATTTTATTTTGAAAAAGAGCTTCCTTGCACAAAAATACAGGAAAATTTCATAGAAATATGTAGCATTTAATATCATTTAATTTTGTCCTATGACATTTTTTTCGATCTCCAATCCTTTCAAAGACATAGCTCGCCCCAATTCCGTGGAACACCATATATATATATATATATTTTTTTTTATTATAATATATTACATTAATATATTATATATTAATTCATACAATTACGTATAAATTAATTCTGTCATTTTTATGTTGAAATATGTGGATATGAAAAGTACGAAGAATAATTACATTCTATAGCATGTATGAAAAATTATACGAGCGATACTTTACTTAGACTTTTTTTTATAATTCATTTAATTCTATATCATCATCAGTTCATAGTCATTTATATACTTTGTCATTTATTCCGTTATTTTTAAACTATTCACAAATACCGTATGAAAGTATTATATAATGCCTTAGTATACTTACGTACGTATTTACGTATGTATGTAGATACATATGAGGACGAATAGAGATTTTCCTTTCCTTTTATTTTTTAAAATAAAAAAAAAAAGAAAAGAAAAGAGTTAATGAAATATTAAAGCCGAGATCTCTGTCTTCCTCATCTTACTCTGACGAAACGAGACTTTCAACGAATCAGTCTTTTTAAATAACGCGAGGACACGGAAGTCCAGAAGTGAAGAAAAATTAGAAATAATAGCGAACAGTTTGCCGACGTCTGGCTTATGGCGACGTAATTTTTGCTCTATCGTCGTCATTCTCGAATACTTAAATACGTACCTGTATATATGTATACATGCATACATACATACATATATATATATATATATATATTCCAGTTACCTATGTATATAGTTCATACCTGCGGCAATACGTACATTGGGCTCAAAAATGGCACGCGAGTTTCGCATTCTCTCGTGGTTATTTTTCTTCGTTTGCGACAGGGACTAGAAAAAAGTACGCTTGAGTAAAGGAAGAAAAAAAGAAAAAAAAAAAAAGAAAAAAAAGAAATTTTGTACTACGACGAGGTTAAAAATTATTTTCCACGTAATCCCTCCTAGTTACCACCACAGTGAACAGACAAAGGTCTTCTTAAATTTCAAACTCCAATTCCATGGAAAATTTTTTATTATAACTTTACTTATTTTATTCTATTTAATTTTTTCTTCTTTTTTTTTTTTTTTTTTTTTTTTTTACTAATTTTTTAATGCTTTACCTCTTCTTTTACTTTTCAGCGTAACAAATACATGCACAGATACATATCTTGTACGTTTGAGCACGCACGCTTATGCAGTGTGATTCGTTTACATGAAAACGTTCGAACATCTCATGACATATGAGCGTGTTAACGTTTGAATATATGGAGAAAAGAGAAAAGAGAAAAGAGAAACAAAAAAGAAAAGAAAAGAAAAAGAGAAAGTTCATTGGAAAACAGGAAAATGAGATCTTTTATTATTTTTTTGGTTTTTTTCTTTTTTTCTTTTTTTTTTTTTTTTTATATTTCTCTATACCACTATACCACCTACTTTGCTCTTTGAACATTGTGAACGTTATAAATTATTCCTGGCAAAATTACGGCTCATAATAATTTTGAATATATCTTTTTTCGAATGAAAAGAAAGACGAAAAAATCGGAGAGAAAAAGCATTTGCACCGGGGGTTTTTTTTTTTCTTCTTTGACGTGTGCGAAGTATAAGAAGAACAAAAAAAAAACAAAAAAGAAAAAAGAAAAAGAAAGAAAACGCCGTGCTTGATTTTCTTTCTTTTTCTTTTCTTTGTTTATTCTCTTCTTTCTTTCTTTTTTTTTTCTTTTTTATTTTCTTAATTTTTATTTTTACAGACAAACGAGCCGATGAACGGTGAAGTATTCTTTTGGATGTCGCTTTTGTTTTTGTTATTGCTATAATTGTTGTTTGTTGGGTGAATCAAATGAAAACGAAGATAGGCGCTCCCTCGTATATGAAATCATTTTAGAATCGATTTGTTTTTTCATTTCTTTTCTTTTTTTTTCTTTTTTTTTTTTATATTATCTTTTCTTCTTTCTTTTTTTTTTTATTTTCTTCCATTTATCTCTCCGTCCGTTTTTAGCAGTTTTTCTTCTTGCCAACTCTTTCGCTCATCGCATTACACGACGTGTAACGTCGTGTTTCACGTCAAAACCGAGAAGCCGGTTGCTTGCGAAAAGCAACGAGTCGATTCTTCTTTGTTAACGTGGAATGATCGCATTTGTTTCATTTCTGCTACAATTCTTGTTAGTGTGCTGAAGCGTAAAGGGTTCTGCGTTACAAAACTTAAATGTCACGCAAAAGTGAGTCATTCTTTACTATCATCACAAAATTTCAAGAAAACGAGACACAGGAGAAAGAAAGAGAGAGAGAGAGAGAGAAAGAGAGAGAGAGAGAGAGAGAGAGAGAGAGAGAGAGAAAGAGAGACGTAAATTTGATTTAAACCTGACGATTTGAAAATACATAAAAGTAAATTTACAAAAAGTTCATAAGTTAAATTGAAAATAAGAATTAAAATAATGATTAAAATTATTATAAAATTAGAATTGAAAGAATTTTTTGATCAAAAGTCAATCGATCGTTTTCCAAACGTTAATATCAATCATATCGGTAAAAAATAAACATATTTTTGAATTTGAAATTATAAAGAAATATATACATAATTAAGTATTTCATCATTCGCAATTTATTATATATACGAATTATAAATAGGAGATAATTAAGTATATCTAGTCATTAATAATCAACGTGCTTGTATATAATAAGTCGATAAATTAAAACACTCCTTCTTCGTAGGATAAATTATTCACAATTAATTATTCACTTATTATATATTTATAGTTATTTATATCATATCTTATATTAGAAATAAAAATGTATTCTCCCTCAAGCAAAATCGTTTAAAAAATATAATAATATCGATATGTAACTTACGATTGGAAGGTGTGTCAGGAGCTGCAGTTGCTGAAAAAAAGAAAAACAAATCGAGAGATTAGATAAGCTAAATATAATACAATAAAATATAATAAAACGATTATAATATTATATTCATTATCGATTGTAATTTTTTTAATCACTCGTTGTAATATTTACTTTAAAAAATATTTTTCGGAGATTTGTATTCAAACATTTCATTTTAATTGTAATTTACATGCATATACTTATATATAGATAATATATAAATATTCATATTGTATTTATTATTGATTGTAAATTTTTTATTTACTTCGTAAAATTTACTTGGACAAAATATTTTTTAAAGATTCACTTTCAAACATATCGTTATTATTGTAATTTCATTTTAAACTTTCTATGCATACACTTATATACAGATAATATATAGATAATATATAAATAAATGTATACGTATTTGTGGATAGAATATTTTTAATGTCAGTGTTCTCTCTCTCTCTCTCTCTCTCTCTCTTCTCTCTCTCTCTCTCTCTCTCTCTCTCTCTCTCTCTCTCTCTCTCTTTCTCTCTCTCTCTCTCTCTCTTTCTCTCTCTCTCTCTCTCTCTTTCTCTCTCTCTCTCTCTCTCTCTTTCGTTTGATTAAATCGAATTAAATCGTCGATATCGACTTCAGCGTGACTAGCAATAGAGAAAAAGATCTTGAATTGAGAATCTCGAAGAAAGGCAGATAGATAGAGATAGAAAATGAGGAAAGAAAGATTGAAAAGAATCGCGAGTCTTATAACTTTCGTTTCTCCTTTTTTTTTCTTGTCTTTTTTCTTCCTTTCTTTCTTTCTTTCTTTCTTTCTTTCTCTTTTTTCGTGGGTGAGTATGAATCGTATTACACGAGGAGGAATACCCCTTCTTCTCTTCTTTTTCATCCTCTTGAACCATCCAAGACGTCGTTTCCTAATAAGCGAACCGTGTCGCGTCTACTTCCTTTCAGACACAGCCAACCGAACGAAAGAACGAAGAAAAAAGGAGCGAGCGAGATGGAGAGTTGTAAATGAGCGACTAAAAAGGCGACACGAATCTCGCGAATAGTAACGTCGAGACTGTGAATGACGAAGATGACGTTATTCCGAAGAACGAAAAGTATCCTTCTTCTTGTTCCTTTTCTTTTTCTTTTTTTTTTTCTTTTACTCTTTTTTATTCCGTTCTTTTGGAAATCTTTTCACCAAAAGCATTTTTTATCAGACATATTTATCATAGAACGCTTATTGCTAGCTTTTCAAAATGAAAAGAACTCTTGTTGATTGCATATTATTTCTTCTTCTATTTTTTCAAAATTATTATATTATTATTTTTCTTATTATTATTTATTATTTATTATTTATTATTATTATTATTATTATTATTATTATTATTTTTCTTATTATTATTTATTATTTATTATTTATTATTATTATTATTATTATTATTATTATTATTACTATTATTATTATTACTATTTATTATTACTATTTTATACAATTATACATAGAGAGAAAGATCGGATGATTATAATTTTATATAATTTAATAACGTGTAATATGACATTTCTGACTATTGGAAGAAGTTGTTTGGAAAAAAAAAAGAAAAAAAAAATGTTCTTGCTGGTTACACACTTTTTCAAAATTAATATTATTATTATTATTATTATTTCTATTGTTATTATATCATTATTTTTATTACTGATATAAAATTTATTGATTTGAAATTTATTATGAATATAAAATTATGTATTAATGAATGTAATCGATGATTATAATTTTCATAACTTCTAATAACATCTCTTTTTATTGAGAATATATAATTCCTACTGATTTATTAATGACATATTATACGCACTTCTTCTATTTTCAAAATAATAATAATAATTATTATTATTATTACTATTATTATTATTGATATCGTAGGATCATGTATAGAACGATAGATGATAATTTTTATAGTAATGCAGAATAACATTTTTATTTAACAATTTTAAACGATTAACAGTTGATAGCCAGGTCAGATTTGATAAAAAAAAAAAAAAAAAATTCGACATCTTCTCGTTTCTATATATAAGGAAGAAGTAAATGAGCTTGTCTCTTTCGTAGTATACGCACATGTACATGTTAAAAGTGAAAGAAAGTCAGGTAGTTCGGTTCATTTTTGACCTACTTGGAAGATGCGAACCATCTGTATCTATCTCTCCTACCAGACCCTCGTTAACTAGGCTGGTTAAGGGTGAAAAGTGGGCCAGATTACTTTTCCAAGCTTTCTACCACCTATTTCCTTCATCTCTCTCTCTCTCTCTCTCTCTCTCTCTCTCTCTTTCTCTTTCTCATTCTGTCTCTGCTAACAGATTTCTTCTCCCTCTCTTTCTCTTTCTCTCTGTCTCTCTTTTTCTCTCTCCTTCCTCTTTCCATCTTTTCTCTTTTTTTTTTCTTTCATTTTTTTTTTTTTTTTTTTTTTTTATAATCCCGACTTCTTACTTTAAATCCCTCGACAAGATCCTCTACTCGAGTCATTCCTTTCGAATTTTCCACGTTTCAGATAAACTAGAGGAATCTCTTTAATCTAACATTATTTTCATTCAAAGGCATACAGATTTTCATCGAAAGTTTTTCCTTATGGACGAATAAAAATACGTTCTGGGATGTAGACGAACATAGAAAGAGAGAAAGAGAGAAAGAGAGAAAGAGGGACAGAGGAAAAGAGGGAGAGAAGAAAAGATATTTTTATGCGATTTTCATATTTGTTTTCAATTATTTTCTTCAATTTTTTATTTCTCTTTTGTTTTCTTTTCTTTCTTTCTTTTTTTTTTCGTTTTTTTTCTTTTTTGTTCATTCATCCCTTTTGAATTAAAATCTTTTATATTCATCAACCACACAATTATCCTAGTTATAAAAGTACTTCGAACGAGACGTTCTTTACGTCAATATGAATTCTTCATTGTCCCATGAACTATAGCTATGCTATATTATTACCAGTTACGAACTATTGTTTTTACATTCAAAGCATATAATTAATCTTTCGTTTCGTGTTTATGAGATTTCCTACGACACATAGATCGTTATGTGTTTTATGAGCGAACGCAGAATGGAATAAAAAATCGATGAGAAATCGGTAAAAAAAATCGTTTTTGTCTCACTCTCTTCCTCTCTCTCTCTCTCTCTCTCTCTCTCTCTCTCTCTCGTTATATTCATCGATTCGTTGATACAGTTTTTCTTTCTCTCTCCTCTTTTTTTTCCCCCATTACCGATAGTTTCCGCGTATCTCGTTTTCTCGTTACCCGCATCGGCTAACGCATATATTGTTCTTCATTTAAATCTAACGTTAATTACTTGGACCCCACCCCCGTGCATTGCCCTTTCTCTCGTGTTTCTCGTGTAATTAAAAAAAAAAAAAAAAGAATAATAATAAAAAATTAAAAATTAAAAAAGAAATAAAAAGAAAAGAAAAAGTAAAATATAAAAAATATAAGATAAAAGAAGAAATGAAAATGAAGAAGAAGGAAAGGAAGGATAGAATGGGAAGGGAGGGGGAAAAAAAAGAAGAAGAAATTAGATAAAGGGAAGAAAACGAACGAACCAAAGGAAAAAAAGAAATAAAAGAATATACGAAGAAGTAATTTTTTAACGTCACCGCCACGCCAGCCATCGCCTTCAACTAATTTTCCCTTTTTCGATCCGCCCTTTTCTTCTCTTCTCTTCTCTTCTCTTCTCTTCGGTCGTTCTTTAATTGCCTTCGTCCCTCGAGTCTCCCTTTAAGATTTACGCATCGCGTCTTTTTAACGCCACAGAATATCTTTTCATTTCCCTCCAACAAGATTTATGCTATTTGCGTGAATTTTTTTCATTAAATATCGCGGACTCGTCCATTTCTCTGTCGTCGTTCGTCCATGTGCGTGTACGCGAAAATAAGGATAACGGGAAAATTAAATTATTCACTAGTTCTTGAAAAAAAGAAAAAAAAAAAAAAGAAAAAAAGAAGAAAGGAAAAAAAAAGATATAGTAGAAAGTTAGAGTACCAAAATTTCGATCGATCACGAATCGAAATGGTTATTATCGCATTACGTTACGTTACGTGACATATACCTCCAGTTAGATGAACAGTTCGATAAAAAAAAAAAATATTCGATCGACGAGAATCTCGTTCCTACGGATTGAATTCTCGATTCCACGACGACTGGATACGTCCAATCGCATTTTCAACACGACCGAAGAATCCGATTTTGAAAAATTGTAGTGGCGCCGGACGAATTCATCGATCGGAACGAATTTCGCCTTTATTTGTTTCTTTTTCTTTCTTTCTTTTTCTTTTTTTTTTTTTTGTTTCATCTCTTTCTCGTTCATCTCTCCCTTCTCCTTTTCTTGCACGTATATTTTTTGTTTTGTTTCATGCTTAATCGATCGGATTGTATGTTTAGAAATTTCGTCGATCATTGACAAGTTCATTCGTCGACGAATACCCTCGCGCATTCCTTTTAATACCGAAAAGATCCTTTTAACATTATTCAGATTGTTATCTTACGTATAACGAAATTATATATATATATATATATATATATATATATATTAGGTGGACCGGAAAGTAATGTTGTTTCTGCGCATGTCGATATTTGATTGTGATTAAAAATAAAAACTTGTTAAAAATTTATTCATTTGAATTTAATTTAAGAAAGCGACATTACTTTCCGGTCTACCTAATATATATATATATATATATATATATATATATATATATATATGTAGGTTCATATAATGCTATATGCGTTAGAAAATCATAATAATGTTAGTTATAGTAATATTATTCGAAAGATATGCTGTAATATTTTCATCGTCAAAATGTTTCTCCTAGTCGAATGTTTGAATTATGTATAGTAATTATTCGATGCATTGAAAGCTTTAACTAATAGAACTCATTGCTTCTTCCATATACTTCAACAAGCGGGTTGATTATACGCTTCTTCCCTAATTAAGCTTAACCTTTTACATATATACATACACATACTCATTCTCTCTCTCTCTCTCTCTTTCTCTCTCT